AATGAATGTATATTTATACGCGGAACAAACGCTGCGGTGTACAGACAGAACGAAGCAGCAGCAGCAGCAGCAGGAACGGGCGGCGGCGGGTGGTAACGGGCAGGCTGGTGATCCTGCAGCGGTTTGTTTGTGCTTCGTGAGTAAGCACGAGCGTGAGGTGTCTCTACACTAAGCTGAGAGAGCTGCAGCTGCAGCAGCAGCAGCAGCAGCAGCAGCAGCAAGGGGTAGAGAGAGAAGGAAAACAGACAGAGAGAGAAAGAGAGAAAGAGAGAAAGCGGCAGATGATTTGGTTAAGTCCTGAGAAGGATAGAGGATCGCCCTGACACAGAAATAGAAAACACTTTTGCAAGGATTAAGAGAAATGCAAAAGTATATGAATTGGGGTGTACGTACACCTCAATATAAGTAAAACGAGAACAGTATACAGCAGCAGGAGAGGGAAGCAGCAACGATCAGGCATTTAATATACCCTCTTTGGCTTAATGGGTTTATAGAGATAAAATACAAACAAAAACCAAAAGAATATAAAGAATAAACACTTTAATAAAGAGCAAAAGATGAAAATAATGTTGCGTATCTGGGGTGTATGGGCAGCTGACAAAGCGGCTGCTGGCGGCGCACTCAAAACCACCTCCTCTTGGGAAACAAAACATGAATTGTTTTTCTTCTTCTTTAAAAATAATTAAATTAAACTTTATTTCTTTTCTTTTGAACCGTCAACTTATTCATATTACTGCATTTTAGCTTCGCTTTCCTTACGCAGCCTCCCCTACCACTGTCGGCTGCTCCTCCCTTGTGTATATACACTACAGGTTGCAGGAGCAGGGTGTCCTGTGTATGTATTTAAATATATTTAAAAATATTTAAATATATTTAAATATATTTAAATATATTTAAATTATTTTATTTTTTTGAAATGGGGGATTTAAATAAAAATAACGCTCAGCTTACCCCCATAGAAAGCCTCAGGGCTGTAATCCTTATAGAGGAGGCTCTAAAGCAACTTGCATTTGTAGGCAAACTCTCGCGGGAACAAAGAAACAATAAAGACAGTAAATTCACAGCATATAGAGGAGATGAAATCATCCGCATCATAGATGAGCAGCAGGAACTGCAGCAGCAGTATGCAGCACCACCACCCTTATCTACACCTTCTACACAAAAAAAACACAAAAAAAAACAAAAAAAAAATCACTCTTTTCGATGCATATACATCCTCAGATTGCTGCTGCTGCTGCTGCTGCTGCTGTCACTGCTTGCTTCTCGCTGCATGCAGTCTATCGCCGCCCTTGGGCTCTGCAGCTGGTGATGGTTCTTCTCTTCTGTGTTGCATAAAAACTTCTTAGCTAGCTACGAGTGTCTCCTGGCTAGCTGTGTATTACTATCCCTGGCTAGCTACAGATGCCCCTAGCTAGCTACAGCAACTCCCAGCTAGCCATCGAGGCCCCCGGGGGCCCCCGGG